CCACTGTGGCTTCCTCCATCCGCTCCCCTGTGAGTCTCTTGGAGATCGTAGAGAGCATGCGCGAGATGATTAATTCAAAGCAGCAAAACATACGGAAATGATCCACGGTTTCCGCGAATCATTTATAATAATTACAATCCATTATTTTTTGGGGGATTTTTTCATTCATTTCATACATTTTTATGGGATTTCTGTGTAACAATCAACATGTATCGAACCGAACCAAACCGAAAACCGTGACCACGAACCGTGAATCGAACCGAACCGTGGATTTTGTGAACCGTTCCACCCCTAATATTTATATATTATTTCACTCTTTATTCAACTAACATGCCTGTGATGTAGAGCACCAGGAGGAAATCAGATCATGTCCTGATATAAAGAGATTGACATTTACTAATAAAATTTCTCCCATAAAAAGATTTGTGGCTGAAACAGATTTACTGTTATTTTATGGTTAAAACATATAAATCTTTAGACCGATCTCTACCATCTCCTCAGCAGCTACAGGCCATCATTTACTCCATGATAGGAGATCAACCTAAATCAGATTTAACTAATGTGCCAAACAGAACATCGATCAGAAACATTTATTTAGCTAAGAAGTCTCCTAAATCAGGCTGCCTATACACAGAGAGGAGATGGTCTAATGTCCCCCGAAATAAAATCTTGAGAAAGGCACATAATGAGCCTATTATGAATGAGCCCAGAAGTAACCTGGTTGACTATAATGAGTCACAGTGGAGGATCAGAGCTGAAAGGGTTAAACTATGATGAAGCTGTGATGTTCTCTCAGATTCATCAGAGTGATTCATGTTTTCACATAATTTATAAATAATAAAAACTAAACAGAAAAGTAGAAACTATTTTTGTTAACAGGGGAATAATATTTAAGCATGAATTAGTCTGTGGAAATATTTCTCATTCATAAAAGCCTTTAGCTTTGGATCAGCCTCCCTCTTCCTCATTTTAACCAGTGAAGCAACAAACAACACAGCTGCTGAGACAGGTTGATACTTTTGAAGCTCTGTTTTTGCAAACATGAACCTCAGTGCTTAAAAACTATAATTCTGCTGAAAACATGTATCTCAACCTGTTAAAGGTGCAGTAGAAGATCTTTGAAAAACGATTCCAGCAAGCTATATATTTAAACATATACAACAATGCCTCTCCCTTCGAACCCCTTGAAACCACGCCTTCAAAACACATGAACGCGCATGCTGTCTGCAGCACGTCTAGAGCAGGAGCAGCAGCTGCTGGCAGGGAGACAAACAGCTCTGATGATGCAGAGCGCTATGATCACTCCTCTGAAACTTTTTATTAACGCCTAAATTAACTTAAAATGTCGAAACCTGCCAGAAAAATGTTTGCTTTTATTATCCTGGTGCCTGCAGTGTGGTTTACATACATGAAAACCGCTTTCCAGCCACCGCGGTAATCCACAAGGAGGCGACCAGGCCAGAGGCTGCTGTTGAATGGGATTCCCAGTGACAACACACCACCGGTATGTGGGGATCTGAAGGCACGTTCATACCAAACACAGCAGGAGCAGCAAAAAGGCGTCTGTGCAAGTTTAGTTCTTACGGTCCCCATCCCACCCTATCCCAGAGGAACAAAGTACCTGCTCTCTTCCGCCAGGTGAACAATTCCTCCTTTAACGACAGACCTTCAGAATCATAGACAGGTTTCAGATATTACAGGCTAACAATGGAAGCAAACGACCCATTCATCGGTTTCAATTTGCATGTTTCCAAGCGATACAAGGCCTTTATAAAGACTCACTGCGGATCCAGACATTTGAATTGAGAAAGCTTCCTGGAGAGGTGGAGAAACGTCTTCAATTCTTGGAAACCAAGTCCAGTGGATATTTTTTGAACTATCGAAACATGCCTCGTCTTTCGGTACCAAGTTTCGGTGATTGGCTGTAAC